GAGACACACAAGGAGACTACATGACACCACCGACACATTAAATCCGTGGCTGTTCTGGATGTGTGCAGTTTCTCCGTGTAGGTTTTCTTTTATCTGAACCCTGTTTTTCGTGTCGTCGCCCGTAAACGTTCACAAAAAGCACAGAAACGCCGACATTCAGCAGAATTAGTCACACGGAGCTGCATGTGTCGGCGGCGACGCAAAGTGACGATGATTCACGAGAGGCTTTCACACGAGTGGAAGAACACCGACGTTTCTATCCACCGCAGTCGAAGGACATCCTGAGAATTTATGCAAATGTAGCCTCAAAGAAGGGATCATTATTTAGGTTTTTACTCTAAGTACAAACTACAGTCGTCCTCACTAATGGTTCAAACAACTTCCTTTGTCATAAGGTCTGGATGATCTGTACTTTCCTTCATTTAAATTCAGACAAAACTGAGGTTATTGTATTTGGCCCTGAACACCTCAGAAACACACAATCGAACCAGATAGCTGCTCTAGATGGCGCTGACTTGGCCTCCAGTTCTACTGTAAAGAACCTTGGAGTTATTTTTGACCAGGACATGTCGTTCAATAGACGTATAAAACAAGTCTGGAGGATGATCTTCTTTCATTTACGTAATATTGCAAAAATCAGGAACATCCTGTTTCACAGTGATGATGAGAAACTAGTCCATCATTTATAACTTCTAGACTGGACTATTGTAATTCCTTATTATCAGGACGTCCCAGTAACTCTCTTAAAAACCTTCAGCTGATCCAAAATGCTGCAGCCAGAGTTCTGACAGGAACCAGATCATATTTCTCCTGTATCAGCTTCTCTTCATTGGCTCCCTGTAAAATCCAGGATAGAATTTAAAATCCTGCTTTTAACATATAAAACTCTCAATGAGCAGCTCCATCGTACCTTACAGACCTTATGGTACCGTATCATCCTAACNATCTGGAGACTAAAGAACTGGGAAAATATGTGTTAAATAGAAATAAATGTCACAAGCCACCAAAGTGCCACATTTAAATGATTGCAATTAAAAGCAAATCTTTTGTTCTGTGTTCAAAACCAAATGGCTCTTTGCTCTTATTCAGTCGAGAAGCTAGAAGAAGATATCCAGAAGATATTACTTTACAGAAGCACCAACAAGTAATAATTACTGATTCTGCAGTTTCTTAGATATCAACACATCATTGTGTAAATATGAACATATCTCTGCAACGAGGAGACACAGAGCTTTATGCAGGTTGCAACTCAATCTGGTGTAAATTCAAACTTGTTTTTCTCGTCAACACTTTGTCACGCAGACGAGCTACTGGCATCATTAGAGAGGTGGAGTTGTGCACATTCATGTGATGTTTGCAACACAAATCTGTGATACAGACTTGGAGAGCAATTCAGCTGAGAAGAAGGGATGTGAATTTGGACGTTCACCAGGCTGTAAGGGGTTAAAGATATTTTCTGCCTTCTCGATGTCCTCATCAGGTAGCAGTCTTTGTCTCTCTAACAAGTAAATTCACCACATAGGCCGACATAACGAACCTCCATTGTTCTATGTTCCGTGTGCTCGTACAACTTGTCGTAACACCAGCTGTACGAGTCGCTTTTATGGCGCACTCAGATTCTGCACCGCAACAGAAACAGAACGTCTAAAAGCGTTTCTGACGAGTTCACACTGGAATCTGATACTAGTCACATTTAAAAATAATTAGAACAGCCAAACAAAGAGATCTGATCTGAGGAATAAATCCAGATTGAGCGCTGACAGTGCAGTCCTGTAATGACTACATCCTGACGACCAGATTGAAGCATTTTCCAAAAAGGCCAAGGACACCATTTATAGAACAGAAACCATTGAAAAAAAGGAATATTTGAACTTTTCTGATGGTCCTTGAACTACTCATCTCTAATGTGTCGTCCGGTTGGGAATAATAACCAAAAATAGGCTTTTAAACGATGACATTTAATCAAAAATCGCCTTTTTTCTACCTGCATAAATTCACCAAAAACAAACTATTTGCTTAAACCAGATTCTGTGAAAAACACAAAATTCTGTATTCGTCAGCACAAACGTTGAGCCGCAATGGACTCGGCTGTGATAAATATTCACGTGACAAAAATCCTGCGACTTCTTGGTTTAAATGCAGGCAGCATTAACAGAGAAAAGAGAGGAGACAACTATGGAGAGAAATTAAAACTGCAGAAGAAAGCATCTCCACAAGTAGGTCTGATTCTTATCTTGTGAGATTCTTCTCTTGGATTTATCTGGTTTGTCAAGCGTGCCTGTAAGAAGCTCCATAAAAAATAACCTTTAATTCAATATGCAGAGCAATTAAACAAGAATGTTAAAAGTGAAACCGTATAATTATAACGGAAAAGGAGATACTTTTACGACTGCAACTTGAGTTTTATTTTTGAATTTCTTTCCCCCTTCGACTCCATAAATCAGTGGAAGGAGCCTCGCAGATGAAGATGTTTTTATTTCACAAGTGAAAAGGCATTTGTCACAAACTTTAAAAGAACAATAGTAAGTTTGTACATGAAAAATTCTTCTTAAAATCAGAGATCCGGCTGACGTCATCCTGCGACCACAAAAAAATGAAATAAAATAAAAAGGGAGGCCCTGCCGACTCTTTGCAGCAAAGACGACACTGAAAACAACGAAGCAGCATGATACAAAATGAAATCCACTCGGTCTCTGTGGATTCTACCTTTATAAATGTTTTGTGAAAACCGGCCTTCGGCTCTAATGTCAGGAACACGGCGGCTCGAAGGTCACCACCACGTGTGCTTTTGTCAGCGTTAAAGCTCACAGTCATCGAGAGGCGACGGAGTCTCGGAAAAAAAATCAAAGCAGATAAAAGAGGAGAGGTCGTCGTGGGCAATAGACAGCTCCCGGGAGCCATGGCAACGGCAGGCTGGTACAATAGGTTGCCGAGGCGCCGGGAGAGGAGATCGGGGATGAATGAGAGGGCAAGGAGGGGAGCTGGAGGTGGAAACGAAGGCGGAGAAACAGCTGTGCTCGCTGCTCGATCGCTGCTCGGCCCCCCTTTTCTTTTTTTTCTTCAAAAGACTCAATTAGCTTCGATGTGACACCAGAATACCTCCGCGACTCGACAACGCCGCTCTGAAAACAGTGTGTAATTTCCTCCTTTACCCGCACGCCGAGCTCAAAGCCACGATCCCAGCAGAGTAAGTGGCATCTTTCGCCCACAGAGCTGCTCGGGGAATTGAACTCCTGACGCCCTCGCAGCACTTTAACCCTCCTTCAGCTGTTTGGGGAGTTAAATCTCTACTTCTAGCGGCGGTGAGGCAGACAGACTCTATAGATCTCCTGCTTGAAAAAACTCCTCCTGTAAGGATCCAGGTCTAGACGGCGGTGCTCCGACCCAGCAGGGGGAAGGCTGTCGGCATCCCACAGCTGGGCTCCAAGCCTCTCAGTCCGTGGACGCCCTGAAGGCCCTGCAAGCCTCCTTGAAACCCCCCTTGAAATCCTTGTATTCCAGCCCTTAGTCCGAGTCCTTCATGATGAGTCCTGGGCTCCCGGCGGGGCATGGTGGCCATGGCGGCGGCGGCCTGGAGCGAGCGTCCCGGCGGGGTGAGGGTGTTGTGGTTCAGATCCATGTTGGACAGGAGGTGACCCAGGGAGTCCCAGCGCTGCGACGAAGGCAGGCGGATCAGGGAGGAGTAGCCCCGGTCGGGGAACACGGTCGCCGCCAGAGGCTTGCTGGTCTCGGAGGTGAACGCCGGAGCCGGGTTGTGGGTCTCCCTCAGAGGCGGCAGCGTTGCCCGGAGCGGGCCGGGCTTCAGGTAGGTTCCCCCTCGCGGATCAGCCAGGACCTCGCTGTAGGGCGGCGGCGGATCCTCCATCAGGACGGCCTCCTCGTAACACGGCGGCTTCCCAAAGATGTCGGTGTCTGAAAGGAAAAGACTCCGAGTTAGACCAGAAATCCCTCAAAACAGGTTTGAACAGACACCAAAATTACA